GGTGGGAAACAATCTAAAGAAAATAACTGCTGTTTGTACTGGAAGTCAAAGCAAGTGTAGGTATGTAATGCTAAAATGGTCTGGGATTGTAAGAGTAGTGTGAAAAAGCAGATAAGGATAGCAGACTATCTGAAGGCATTTAGGATGGGCATAAACTTCTTCAGGTACAAACACTGGTCAGTACGTGAGTATTAACAGACATAGCCATTTTGTGTATATATCTAGCAGAGTATCCAGATGTGGCAGAAATAATTCTCAATGTTTAAGAAAGGTAGAAAAGATGGGTACAGGGGTGTTACAGGTTTGACAGCTATATCTACAAAAAGGAATTGCACCTGATAAATTTTCCTACCATTTATTTTGGAGGACAAACTCTGCTTGCCTTATTTTCTCTATGCCCTTTTGATGACAATCACATTAGATGGTCCCTTCTCTGTGTTACTGCTTTACATTGAACACAATTACCATTCAGGAACTGAATGTGACACCGCTAGCCTGATGGGGAAGGGCGAGTTTCAGAGGCAGTAATTAGGTGTCTTAAATGTCACCCTAACACTACAGCTCTGTTCCCTGTATCATGGCCCAAGGGAGCCTAGAAGCACAGTATACTGTTACCAAGTATGCAGCAGCCACACCATTAGGAAAGGCTCCTGAGGAGAGGTCAGTACAAGGTACATGAGCAGTGCATTCCACCTGTCAGCAACGCACATAACAAGACTCACAGGTCACTGGAAAACCCATTTTCTAACCCCATCTCATAACTGTGTAAAGCTTTATAGTTTTACAAATAATTTTTATGAATATTATCACATATATTGTTTCATTTAAGACAAGAATACTAATCTCTAACTCTTTTACTGGAACCAGAAGAAAGAGCAAGACTGAAAGAGATAAGTTTGACTTGGAATTCTACCCAGTCACACCCAGTGAAAAGTAATTTCAAAAAAGCATTAGGAAATCTTAAAAAATGCAATGCCTTCCTGATGGCTTATTTGTTCACATAATTTTCTCCTTTCAGTTTTTTCTTATATTGATGTAATATGTGTAACATACTGTTTAAGAGTGTGGGCTTTGGTTCTGAATACAAGGTCCACTACTTCCTAGCAGTGCAACAGTGAGAAAGTTCATTGTTTCAGTAAACTGCCCCATCTGCTAGTGGGGATAATAATGCCTACCCTAATACAACTTATGTGAAAAATTATTTTAATAATGCTCATACAGTACTTAGTACATGACCCGGCCCACACCAATAACTGCTGTTACTACTGCCGTCATTGTTAGCAACTAATGTTTACTACATGCTTCCTATGTGCCCTATATAAAGCTTACAACATAGAGAAGACAAGATAGCTGACCTCAAGGACTTTAAAACCCAAGAGGAAAATGTGATTAATTAGCATAATTACCAAAGTACATAGTTAACCACTCACAGTCAACAATCATTACTACACTGATGGAAGAGAGCAGCAACATGGCTCTGGATAAAAAAACAGCTTTACTTACGGTATACAGGTTTCACTAACGGTATTTTGGAGCCCTGGTGGCATGGTGGTTAAGAGCTACAGCGAGCTACGTCTGCTAACCAAAAGGTCGGCAGTTCGAACCTACCAGCCACTCCTTGGTAACCCTATGGGGCAGTTCTACTCTGGCCTATAGGGTCACTGTGAGTTGGAATTGACTTGGTGACAATGGGTAATGATGTTTTACTTAGCTTAAATTGCATTTTCTAAACTCAGGCTAAGAGGAAAACCTACGTGGAGTTTAAAAAGCAGACTATCAGATGGAGATAATCAGGTTGATTTTATAAATATGTGGGTGTTAATGCATACACATAAAACATATCCATCCACTCACTACAGAAGAGCATCAGCATTGTGTTGGGATGTGTACTCCTTACGGATCCAATATCTTTATGCGTAAATAGAAAATATCATTATAATTATTTTTGTCCTGAGTTTGAGCAAACAGCAGGATGTTGGTGGTATTAATAAAAATCAAAGTAGTAAAAGTTATTTTTTGGTGGGGAGGGGGTGAGCAGGGGGAGGGGAGACAATGAGTTCTATTTGCAGTATTTACCCTTATGAAACAATATAACACTCAATTTGAACAATTTAACATACAATGAAACACAACTTTCAAAATGAGAATAACAGGTAAAAGCTGGAAATGTGTATTTACAAGTTAAAACCCACTGCCATCGAGTTGATTCTGACTCACAGCAACCCTACAGGACAGAGTATAACTGTCCCATAGAGTTTCCAAGGCTATAATCTTTATGGAAGCAGATTGCCACATCTTTCTCCCACAAAGTAGCTGGTGGCTTTGAACCACTGACCTTTCGACTAGCACCTGAGTGCTTTAACCACTGCGCCACCAGGGCTCGCTGGACAATGACACTCTAAAACCAAGGAAGAGAGCAGGCAGAGGGAGGGGAAGTGTAAGTAATATTAAAGGCAGTTTTAGAATCAGTAAACAGGAAAAGACTTAAAGAGGGGGCAGTATCAGAACACGCGTGAAGAAGAGTGTAACCAACTATGGCAGACAGATTAAAGAGAAACGGAGGGAAGAAGCCTTAGGATTTTTCTAAGAGGAGGCAGTTAGCTGTCTTACAAAGGATAGTTTCTAGGGAATAGTGAGGACATAAATCAGACTGAGGAAGGTCAAGGAGAATCAAATAAGCAGCGGAAGAGAAGAAAACTGAGGTAATTAACAAAAAAATATTTTGTCAACAGTGGACTCAATGGAAAATAAAGAAAATAAATCTTGAAAATGGCTCATGCAACCTTTCGCTGTTGGTCTAATGAGCTACAGCTATTTATAAATTAGACATCTAATTTTATTACCTGCTGATTAATCATCCCACCTTCTTCTGGAATGAAAAAAAAAGCTACCTTACTTTTCTTTAGGCAACCACCATGCCTCATCTCTCAGTCTACATGGTTTGAATGAGACTGATTCTACCTTCTAGGTTCCAGGTTGGGCATATGACGCAGACCAAGCCAATCACAGCTCTTGATTCCTCAAAATGGGCACAGGATCCACACAGGCCAATCAGAACCAGTAAGTTTTATATCTAGGACTTTTGCCAGAACCAGTAAAAAAGAATGGTTATTTCCCCTAGGGCCACTAAGCTATGGAGAGAGCTATGAAGATATGAAATTATAGGTGCATCAACCACATGGGGTAGTTTACCTAAACATGAAGCCAAACAGAAGAAAGCAGTACCAAAAAAGAGGGACAGAAATATTTCTAACGAAAGCATCTTACCCAAATTTAGTTGTATGCCTATACCAATAAATATCTTCTTAAATTAATGCCAGTTCTATTTAGATTTCTATCACTTAAAACTGAAAAAATACTGATTAATACAACTACTGAACCCAGATCAACCCAGTAGGCCTTTTGAGTATTTCAGAGTCACTAAATGTTTTGAAGGAAGGCCACCAAAAAGAAAAAGTAAACAATAACAACAAAAACTTGCTCATACTACTGTATACCAAATTATGTACTTTATGAAAAGTATTATAATGAGATTATAGTGTGTATTACAACTCTGACTTAAGTTCTTGTTGTTGTTTTTTTGATTCATAGACCTCTCAGTCTTTCAGTTGTCTATCAGAAAGCGACAAGGTACAGCCAGTAAAAAAGACCATGCGAGAACAGAAGAGAACAAACAGAAATTAAAAAAAAAAAAATTATTAAGAATGTCAAAATGGTCAAGATTTAAAATTAAAGAAATTTTAATATCTATAGTCTAAATAATGTACCAAAGATTGTGTGTCATTTTAGGAAAATAGGTAAATCTAGAAATATATACATTTCCTGGCATACAGAACATATAGATAATGGTATTTATTTTAAAATAGGTTGTAATTCTAGAGAAACAGATAACAGTGTGTCTTAAAGAACTTATACTAAATAAAAATGACATGCGATTTACATTTTTTCAAATACACACCAAATTGTTGGCCTTACTGCAGATGAACTACTTACTATAGTTGTCCTAACTTTACTGTCACTGAGAATTTGTAACTAAACTTTTTCCTATAATGCCATATAAATAAAGAGAAGTTAATTTATGCTACCACAAAGCAGCATAGGCATTTGTAGTTTACTGACATTTAAATTAACCTAAAGAATTAAAAGGAAAAAATAACTTCAGCAGTTTACTTACATCACCATTACAGCCAAATACTCCATTAGAAAAGGAAATCAAGTTATAGGATTTGTCACCCCAGAGTACTGTTGGATCTCCAGTGAGGATCATTGCAGTTACCTAAAATAAATTTAATCTTCCAAACTGAAAGAGTTTTAACATTGATTTATAAGTATTTTCATCTGAAACACATATATGTCATCTCACTTTTCCTTCTTCAGGTAAACCAAATTTAATAAAATGATAATACAGTTATGCTCAAAGGAAATAATAACAATTCTGCTATGACTTCAGATATTTCTCAAAACCTCAAGTTAAGGAAATCCTGCCAAAGGACAGCATGCTCTCATGAATGTTTAAAGAGTATATCATTGAAAGGGTAAAGTTTTTACAGCGTGAATGGTGTAAGAGGCCTTGATACCTTTAGTCATTAGAGTCTGATGAGGAGGAAAATATGTCAAGAATTCATATCCCATTAAACATACTTTTCAAACTGTAGGTCGTGGCCCATCTGTGAGTCATGCAATCAATTTACTGTATCACAATCAGTATTCTTTAGAAAAAGAAATATAATAAAATAAAACAAATATCAGAGTACACTGCAGATAGTAAAAGTAACCATTGTCTTGTGACACTTATACATATATATGTGTGCCTGTGTACGGGTGTGTGTACATATTTAGGCTACAATCTAAATATATTTCTAACTGTGGACTGTAGGCAAAAAAGTTTGAATCATAGTCTATTAAAACATAGACCAAAGACTGCATGTCATTTTAGAAAAATATGCAAATCTAGAAATATATCTATATACATTTCCCTATACATAGAACATATATACAATGGCATATACTTTAAAATAAGTTTAGAAAGAAATTTAGTGATTCTCCTACCAAAAAAAAAACAGCTAAAAAAGAGGAAGTGTCAGTTTCTAGCTATGAGATTTTTCAACTCTAGATGATTTTATTCCTATCATCCAGTATTGATGAATACATTATGAAACAATTTAAGGGTTTTCAAAAGACTATGAGACTTCTATTAATATGATTACTACCTTTTATTTCCCAGGAAGCGATAACATTACCTCAAGAAAAAAGATTAAATAAGGTCACATTTAGCCTTAAACTCACTAAAGTCAACATGTTCAATAAAATCAAATGATACAGTAAATTACTTATGAGGGTTAGATAATTCTTAGGACAGACCTTCCCAACTAAGGTGTCAAGGCACACAGGTGTGGGTTATAGGTAAGTTCTCATGCCACCTCTGGCATGAGAAGCTCATTTACCCAGTGTCCTGTGCAAATCTTCTGTATGTGCAATCAATGTAAAGAAAGCTGGGAAACACTGACATGTGATATGCAAAGAGCAGTCATACTTCTTTAAACAAAGTGTAAGATATAAGTAAAGGGCCCTAAACAATGTGGCAAGAATATACAAAGCACTATTTTATTTTTGCATAAGCTTCAATTTGGTACATGTAAATTTCACAGCTAAAGAGGAGTTGTAAGAGTATATATGCATGAAAACGAAAAAAATCTACTCATGCTCTATGTACACAAGAATCCTGCAGGAAAATTGTGAGAAGAAATAACAGAACAAGACAGTTAAGTACCTGAGAATAATCTTCTGGTGTTACATGTGGACTGCCATCACTCATGCCATATACCAGTATACTACTCTGAATTTTTTCTAACATAGTCAAATTTTGTGGATCAAGACCAATCAGATATTCTCGTGCCTACAGGGCAAGGAGATAATGATTCAGTATTACAAATGAACATGATATAACCAGAAAATCTGAAAAGAATCTGTTTGGGAAAAAGGTTCATTAAGAAAAGTATAAATTATAACCTTAGCCCATTGAGTACGCTCCTCGCTAGTTAATGCTGCTATCCCAGGTCCGTCAGGTTCACTATGGCACCTCTTGTGAATATATGTCAATTGCCTGGAAGATTTAACGAGAGAGTCAACAAGAGCATAGGCAGTTCAGTAGTTACTTTGGCTTTAATGAGTCTTAACACTGATCAGTATTTAAATGTTTTGATATACTAGTCAAAGAAAGGAATTATAGCCTTAACAGCAATGGATTTATTTCATACATCTTCTTTTTTTGAAGTGATTATGTGCTCTATTAACACCAAAAGTACATTTGACAATAAACTCAACTGAAGAAGTGTGATGTTTGACTGATATAATTTATATTTTCAAAATGTGCACGCACTTCCAGGGTCCAGGTAAATTCCCCTTACATAACAGAGAACTTGAAAAATACTCTGGTAAACAAATCTCACAAATACCATGAACATCTTATCTAACTGAAAACCATGTGCATATATATTTAACCAGAGGACTTACTCTGTACTCAAATATTTGCAAGTGTTTTATCCAAAAGATAGAAATACCATGTGGTCAGTTTTAAATGTTTTCACATGTGCCATTTTATTACTTATAATCATTATTTTTAAAGACTCCATTAGCCGAGAATGAACTTCCTCCCCTTTTAACATTCTCTATTCCTAGTCAGATAAGTTCTATGTATACATTTTTAAACACATAGCAGGTAATTCTATCTAAATAACAGGCTTTTTCCATAAACAGATAAATTTTCATCAAATGAAAAATTCAGAGGTTTAGTTTTAGCCCTACTTCCTCAAGGCACATGCTAAGAAACTACCTCAATTTTAAAACTTTCAAGGATCCCTCAGAAAGTGAGCTAGTATAGCTGAATAAGTGATCAAAAAGCACCACTAGCAGCCATCTCTTATTTGTGGCTTCATCAATCAAAACTGGAAAAAAATATCATTATATGGGACACAAGGTATGAATGTTGAGGGTCACACAGTAGTTCTCTGATTTTGATTACTAGGTTGACCACTTGGGTGGTGGTTATATGAGTAGTTAGCTGTACATTTATGTGTATGCATTTGTACATGTTTGTTATACTTAACAAAAATACTTTTTAAAAATGCATATCCAAACCAAAAAACCCATTGCCATTAAGTTGATTCTGATTCACAGCAACCCTACCAGACAGAGCAGAACTGTCTGATAGGGTTTCCAAGGCTGAAATCTTTATGGAAGCAGACTGTCACATCTTCCTCCCATGGAGCAGCTGGTAGGTTTGAACTGCTGAACTTTTAGTTAGCAGCTAAGTGCTTAACCACTGCACCAAATATGCATATAGATACAAGCAACTCAACATTTTTAAGACAATCTAGGAAATTTGCACGATTGGATATTAATGAGATTAGAGAATTATTGTTAATTTTTTAGAAGCAAGTCATTAGGTGTGATAATGATATTGTATGTGTGTGTGTAAAAGAGGCCTTATGTTTTAGAGATACGCACTAAAATATTTATGGCAAACATTTATGTCTGAGATTTCTTTCAAAATAAATCAGGGGGGATTGGGGCACAATGAGGTACAGATGAAAGAACATCAATTGTTGAAGCTAGGAGTCGATAACTATTGAACTAGGGGATGAATACATAGGGAGAGTCATTATATAATGCCCTCTACATTTTGAAATTTTTGATAATAAAGTTTAAAAATACACATATACACACAAATAAATTTAAAAAGTGTGTGTGTGTATATACATATATATTTTAAGCTATATGTGCATATACATTCACTGAAACAGATCTGGAAGGATAGAGCACACCAAACTATTAAACAGTGATTGTGGGGCAGAGAATGGGATTGGTGGTATCGCTAATATTTTCCTTTCCTCCCGGTAGAATGTATCCAGATACTTCTAGCAAAATTCAGAATTAATTTAACTGAAAAAAAAATGGCTTTGAAAAAATCAACATATATAAAGTCCTTATTTTTTTCAGCTTATTGTCACCTTTTAGAGAGGCAATTCTGAACATTTATTTATTTATTTAACTCAAGCAAGAACCTATGACCTAAGGAGACTCAAGTCATAGAAAGTAGTTTGAAAACCTGCAAATCTCTGGTGGGGTGATCAAACATCCTTCATGCATTACATCAAAGACAAAAACTCGGCCTCGACACAGCACTGTGACGTGACTTGGGGAACACCCTTCACTCTCTGGAATAAGGAACAGAAAACAAAAGACTCAAATCTCCAAAAGTTAAACAGGAGTAAAACTGCATACTTATATCCAACAGAAAAAAAGCAATCATTCCTCCAATATTTTATTCATCATATTATAAATATATCACATGAAAAACACATTAATAACTTAATGGAGTTTCAGTTATTATGCTATAAATACACACTGTTGAAGCTTATCCATGTGAAATATCTAGAAATCCATGAGAATTTCACATATTTGTACATCCTGAGAATCATGTAAATCCCAAACTACTACTGGGCTTTCTAGTTTTATTTAGGAATAGAAATGAGAAGGGGAAAAGAGTAGCAGAAGAATCCCGGAGGAGAGCCATTTGAATTAACAAGTTTCTTTTTAGGATTATTTCAATGTTAATTGCTCATCAGATAATTTAGTTGCAGTAATATCTAGCTATGATTTCTTAATGAAATAGTTTTCAGTAGAATAAAAAGAAACTAGAATAAGGGCACGGTATGCTTGAATGGCAAGGGGAAAGGATTCTGACCAGTCTGCAGTTTTACTTAAGGCACTGATAACACCTGGTAAGCCATTGATAACTGAGTCTATGACTCCTTTGGCATGCCGTTAACTCCCTGAAAATTGTTTTCTATAAACCTCAGACTATTCTGATATAGCCTCATTTTTCAGGTATGAGTCCCTTGCCAAGAGTCGTCCTATATGATCCCTGTCCCTTCCCTCTAAGAAAGGACAAAGGAAAAAGAGGAAGAAAGAAGATAAACAAGACATAACATTGTCACTGGAAAAAAATTTACTGGTTTGTATTATGTACAAGGAACTGTGCTAAGCGCTTTACACACATTATCTCATGAAATCTACTCATCTACTATGAGGTAGGAGTCCCTGGACAGCACAAATAATTCAGCACTCCACTACTAGTTGAAAGGTTGGTGGTTCGAACCCACCAAGAGGTACCTTGGAAGATAGGCCTGGTAATCTGCTTCTAAAAGGTCACAGCTTTGAAAATCCTATGGAGCAGTTCTACTTTACACACAATGGGGTTGTCATTGGTCAGAATCAACTTGACAGCAACTAACAAATACCAATGCTTTTACTAAAAGAAGTACTCATGTTTTAAACTTACCAGTACTAAAATAATTCATAACTGAATCTCTAGTAATTCCTGGAACCCTGCAGGTAGAAAACAGCATTCGGAACTGATCCATATCTAGAGGAGTATTTCCAACTTTCTGAACAGGCAGTTTTTCTCTAATAAAACAAGAAGGTATTTTGATCAAGAAATCATCATAAAACTTATAAGCCAAATAGTCACAACTGCAGCATTCATCCCCAAATAAGTAAACTAAGCTTCTCAACATGATGCCACCTGAGACTTCGGGTAAATGTGTATTAATAAATTAGCATACAAATGTCCTTACTTTCTTAATAGCTGCCAGTAGTTGAAATTATGCCAAAGAGTTATACTTCCTCTTTCTAATTGAGTGCCTTCCTTTGGAGGCCAGTAGTGTTCGATATAGGCCGCAGGACCCGCGAAGTTAACATTCAGTTGTGATGGTATGCGAACATCCAGGTAAGCAACATTCAGCCACCACTCTTCCAGCTAAAAGAAATTAAGAACATCAGCCTAATGTTCTTCAGAATATCTGAATGTATAACTGCTGACCAAAAAGAAAAAAATTTTAAAAAGGAAGAATGAAAATGCTGTATTTGTTCTTTAATTACTCTTCAACACTTAAAAAACACATTTCCTTGTTTTTAAATCAGAGATTTTGAAAAATGCTATTGTGATAACTCCTTTCTTTTAAAACTGTAGGATCTTAAATATTATTCAGTCTAACTACACTGTCAAAAACATGAAACAAGAAAGCCCTGGAAAGGCACCTTCTGACAGATCATCATATTGAAGTCACAAATACCCAATAAAGTACTTGGGTATTTTCAAAGAGTACTCAGGGTAAGTAGGTACTCAATAAATCTTCATCTAATGATAACAATTGTTAAAGCATTTATAATTTTCTCTTTCAGAACAAAGCTGAAATACTAAATCAGAAATATAAAATATTTTCAGTAGGATTAAAACTAATTTAGATTTTTCAAGCACTAATTTGTTTGTGTTTAATAACCTGTAATATGTGGACAGTCTCTCTTCCACAATAATCAACTGTTGAATTTCGTGCATAAGTAAGCAGATCTTATAAAATTATATGCAGTTATTTGGAAGAAAACTGATGTTATAAACTAAAATTAGTCATTCAGAAAAAGGTATGTGACAAGGATACAGGCAGAACAACTTCTTTACCTTTACCCTTTTTAAATTAAAACTAAAGTTCAGAATTGAGAATAAAGGAATCTGGAAGTATAAAATGTTACTATTCCATCATAGGTGTCAATGGCTCATGAAAAGATCAGCTTGATTTTTATTTCTAAAACTAAAAGACAGAAGATAATTACAATCATTTCTGGACTAAAGCAATGTTTTTTTTTAATTATGAAAACTCATCCTCTGCTTCATACTAAAGAAGAGGAGTAGTTGAGCTGAAGAAGTCAAAGAAGATTCCTTGTGGAAAACTACTGAGACCCCATCATTGTACCAGCTTCTCCCTCAATATAACTGAAACACAGAATACTCATAACCATTCTCCACTCCAATTTTGTAATGACCCTTTTCCCCCCATGAACTGTTTAGATATTTCTACATCACCTATATGACATGTCTACGTTGGTGTTTTGTGCTTTTTCAGGCTACAAGCATCTAGACGAAATGTTTTCCTCAAGCATAGTCTACAGATCACCTGCATCAGAATCACAGAGTGCTCATTAAAATATGGATTTCTTGGTCGCACAACAGGCTGGCAACTTGTGATACAACAAGCAGATGCAGCCTCATAAGAGGGGGGGTTTCATAGGAAGGAAGTTCAGATACTAAAAGAAAATGAATAAAAACTGTCTATCATAGCATAAAAAAAGGGGGTGTGGTGGGGTAAGGTATTTCTGGGCCCTGATTCCAAACATACTAAGTCACAATCACTGGTTCTAGAAAATCTGCATTTTAACAAGTTCCCCATATGATATGACAGGGGGCCGCACATAACACTCCTAAGTCCCAAGCTAAATGATTCATTCATTCTTTTGGATGATAATAATAATGACCCCAAGGATTTTTACAATAATAATTTTAAAATGCATGCTATGTGCGTTTTTCATTTTTTCATTCTTTAGTCACCATCAATTTTTCAATTATAAATACAAAAATATAATTACCCAATTTCTTTTTCCTTTTGCCTTTTTGAGTAATTTCTGATGCAATTTTTCTCCAACCCCATTTTGAAATTTTTTAACTATTTCTTCAGTTTTCTTATATTCTTCTTCATTTGCAAATGGTTTTACTATAAAGAAAACAATATGCATTAAGATATTTAGACATCAAGTACCACCAACACACTTGGACTATTATTACTTACACAAGTCTTGAGACTCAAATATGTAAAATACAGTACTAAATGTCACAGCAATCCAATAAATTATAATGGCGCTTACAACATGAAAATAGTTGAAAAGCAACAATGCAAAATACTGTAAAAAATAAAACAGTGGATATTATGTAATCTGATAACTATTTTCTGAAAACTTATTTTAAAATCATTCTAGATGATAGTTAAAATTACAAAGATGGGACTATAATCTAGCTATTAGTCCAATAGGAAAGTACATCCTATTTAGCTGCCACACTCATTGCCGTTGAGTCAATTCCGATTCATAGTGATCCTACAGGACAGAGTAGAACTGTCCCACAGAGTTTCCAAGGCTGTAAATCTTTATGGAAGCAGACTGCTGCATCTTTCTCCCATGGAGCGGCTAGTGGACTCAAACCATCAATCTTTTGGTTAGCATCCTGATGCTTAATCACTGTGCCATCAGAGCTACTTGTTTAACCACAAGAACCATTTAATTGTGTTCATATGGAACCTGTACATAGACCAAAAGGCAGCTGTTCAAAAAGAACAAGAGGATACTGCATGGTTTAAAATCAGGAAAGGTGTGTGTCAAGGTTGTATCCTTTCATCATACTTATTCAATCTGTATGCTAAGCAAATAATCCAAGAAGCTGGACTACAACTATATGAAGAACGGGGCATCAGGACTGGAGGAAGACTCATTAACAACCTGTAATTGCAGATGACACAACCTTGCTTACTGAAAGTGAAGAGGACTTGAGGCACTTACTGATGAAGGTCAAAGACTTCAGTATGGATTACACCTTAACATAAAGAAAACAAAACTCCTCACAACTGAACCAATAAGCAATATCATGATAAACAGACAAATGAGTAAACTTCTCAAGGATTTCATTTTACTTCGATCCACAATCAACACCCATGGAAGCAGCAGTCAGGAAATCAATCAGCGTATATTGCACTGGGCAAATCTGCTGTAAAAGACCCCTTTAAAGTGTTAAAAAGCAAAGATGTCACTTTCACTTTGAGGACTAAGGTGCACCTGACCTAAGCCATGGTATTTTCAGTCGCCTCATATGCATGTGAAAGCTGGACAATGAATAAGGAAGATCAAGGAAGAATTGATGCCTTTGAATCATCATGTTGGCAAAGAATATCGAACATACCATGGACTGCCAGAACGAACAAATCTGTCTTGGAAGAAGTACAGCCAGAATGCTCCTTAGAAGCAACGATAGCGAGACTACGTCTCACATACTTTGGACATGCTATCAGGAGGGACCAGTCCCTGAAGAAGGACATCATGCTTGGTAAAGTACAGGGTCAGTGAAAATGAGGAAGACCCTCAATGAGATGGACCAACACAGTGGCTGCAACAATGGGTTCAAACACAGCAACAACTGTGAGGATAGCGCAGGACCAGGTAGTGTTTCGTTCTGTTGGACATAGGGTTACTATGAGTCAGAACTGACTTGATGGCATTGAACAATAGCCACAAGTAAGAGAAGAAATTAAAGCATATTTTTACTAATATTCAATGCAGAGCTGTTACAAAGCCTACTCAGAGTAGTTTAGGGTATCTCATGGCCAACGATGGTTTCCTTCTAAAAAATGAAAAGAAGGATACAGGATAGCTATCCCAATGAAAGCCAAGTGTTCTAAAATTTAAACTATACATTTAAATAAATTAGAAATCAAGGAGAATTATTATCCTCCGTTTTTTGTCTCTTCAAAATCTTATCTGAAAAATTACAGAACTTGGATTGTGAATTCATTTGCAAAGTGAATAATCAGAAACAGTAAATAATCAGAAAAATTTTTAAAAAGGACACTAGAATTCCCTGAGAAATGAAGAAAGAAAAAGAAGAAATAAAAAACTTATCAGATGGCTTCCATTTAAACAAAGTGAACTAGACACATATATTGACCACCACTCCTTCTAGAAACCCACTAAAAAGCAGTAAAGCAATAAAAAAGGCAAAATTTCAAAAGGACAAGGAAAATAAAAGAGGACAGCAGAGAAGTTAAACTAACATTTCACAAATTAGGAAACACATGGAAAAATGGTGACTGACTTAGTAGAACAGAGAAAGTTAATACCTAAGGCTAGGGATGGAAAATAACAGGAGACAGGGGCACGGTTAGGTAGAAACCAAGAAGCAAGCCAAATCCTATAGTAAAATTCCAGAAAGATTCAAGACACTGGGTACCATGAAGGGTAGGGAGCAAAGTAAGGTTGAAAACAGGATTACTTGAAATGTATGAAAACAGTAGTTAGACAACCACTCCCCCCTCACAGTTGCCCCTGTAAATCTTCTCTTCCATTCTACAAAGCCAGGCAACTTCCCCCCAATGGAGAAAACAGGAAGTTTACTCTCAGGAGAAGCTGAAAAACGGACAGGAGAGAAGACATAGATTTCAGGCCATGCAGAAAAAAGGAGGATTACAATGAATATGTACATTCTAAACAATGAGTTCTCCAGTCCCCTTCCTGTACTCAGCTCCCAAAACACTAGCAGTTGGCTTTATGCCCTCTAGGTGAAATATGAGAGGATTCCTCTTTGGGGAAACTGATCAGTCCAAGAGAAAAGAGTATTGATACTGAGGTATACCCTAATGGAACCACTAGGTCTCTGCCCTATCAACCTACAATAAGGCCCTGTAGTTGCCAAGCCCCACCCAGGCACATAGAGTTTCCAGTTGCCTTTTTTTCGGGCCTCACTCTTAAATATGAATAAGGATTGCCAGATATTTGAGGAAAGCCTCTTATATGAGAGTCAGAGAGCAGAGCAAAATAAATTTAAAGAGGATGATATCAAACAGTAAATAGACCCAAAAGCCAAAGTCAGTCATAGTGGAAGGGAAAACATTTTAAATTAAAAGCTTAGTCCAGAAAAACCCACATCCAAGTAACAGGAGTTTCAGAAAGAGAGAGCAAAAGAAAATCGGAGGAGAAAACTATCAAAGAAACAGAAATAATACTTTAAAAATTCCCCAGACAGGAAAAACAAGACTTTTGAAACTGAAAAGAACCCACTGAGTAACCAAAAAAAGGAATGTAAAGAGCTACACACCAAGGCACATCACTGAACAATTCAGAACGTTACGGATGAAAATAAAAAGGTTTCTAAATGCATCCAGATGTACACATCATGTACATAGGATCAAAAATTAGAAGAGCATCAGACTTCTCAAGAGAAACAAATAGTGCCTTCAAAACTCTTAAGAAAAATCACTTCCAACTAGAATTCTATCCTCAGCCAAACAGTCAAGTATGAGGATATAATAAACACATTCTTAGGTCTTACATTTTCTCCTCCCAGGCATTTTTTTCCTCCCAGGCACCCTTTCTCAAGTAGCTACTGAAACTATACTGCACCAAAATAAGGGGGTGAACAAAGAAAGAGGAAGACACAGAATCCAAGAAACATGGAATCCAACACAATGGAGAGAGGTGAAGAGAAGTGCCAGGATGATGGCAAAGGAAAGTTCTAAGATAACAGTAAGCTCAAGAAAAACGAGCACAGGTTGGACCAGAAGAGTAGAGGGCTTCAGGAGGGATGTCTCCAAAAGAGAATGAAACTGATAGAATATCTGATGTGTTTAAATGTATTCAGGGATTTTCACTGTGTTGAAAAGTTTGGGAATAAATTAGTTCTACATACAAAGCAAACTAAGCAAATGGAAAATGAGGAAAAACAAAAAGTGGCAGCAAAAAAGTACTATAATCAAAGTACAAGGCATGGTTCATTTGTGAATGATAACTTCATGACCATAAACCTTGAATACTGATTTAATCCCAAATGGTAATTTTCTACAACTATATTGAGAGAATGAGAGGGAAAGTATGGGTATGTTGGATTGCATATAAATTGAAGCAGGGTGAGAGAAGAGGTGAATTTTTTTTTGGAAAATAACTTATAATATTTACGAGTAAAAGAGCAAAGAAATCACAACATAAGAATATTAGTTTAAATCTAGAGATGACAACGCATAAAACAGATAAAAGATTTCAAAATCCTTGCCTAAGGGAGTGGGATTTGCAAGAAGAGAGGACTGGGGATAAGGCAGAGGCCAATTACTTTTCTTTTTTTTTTAAATTGTGCTTTAGGTGAAAATTTACAGAGCAAATTAGTTTCTCATTAAAGAACTAATACACAAATCGTTTTGTGACACCGGTTCCTGCGATGTTTAATGTTGTGTGTCAACTTGGCTGGGCCATGATTCTTAGTGGTTTGGAAGTCATATGATGTGATCACTTTCATGATGAGATTTGATATAATGTTATCACCTCCATGATGGGATCTGCTGTGAGTAGCCAATCAGTTGACCAGGAGTTTCGCTGGGCGTATGGCCTGCACTGAATATAAGTGGACATTCTGGTAAGGCTCCTGGGCCTTTGCTTGCTCTGGATGCTCCAGCTGGCTCCTGTTCGTCTGACCTCTGGTTCTTGGGATTTGAGCTAGCAGCCTGATGATCTTGGAATTCGTCGATCTTTGCAGCCTGTGAGCAAGAACCCTGCTCTCTGATCTGCTGGTCTCGGGTCTGCCAACCCTTGCAGCTACGTGAATCAGGAGAAGCCTCCACCCTGACACACAGACTTGGGAAGTTCCAGCCTCTACAACCGTGTGGGCCATTTCCTTGATTCAGATCTCTCTGTATATACATTTATACGTTCTGCTGGTTCTGCTTCTCTAGAGAACCCAGCCTAATGCAGAATTTGGTACCAAGAGTGGGGTGCTGTTCCAGTAGATACCTAAAACGTGGAAGCAGTTTTGAAACTGTGAATGGATACAGGCCGGAAGAGTTTTAAAGTACCTAACAGTAAACGCCTAGATTGCCTTGAAGAGACTGTTGGTGGAATTATAGACGTCAAAGATGATTCTGGTGAGGACTCTCAGAAGCAAATGAGGAAAGCTGTTACACTGAAGATGGCGCAGGCGGCAAGAAGCAGCAGCAGAGAAACAGCAGTAGCAGAACCAGGAGACCAGTGCGAGACAGTGCTAGAGCCAACCCACCAAGCAAGGGAGCTGAGTGCCTTTGGCAGGAGGCTTCCTGGCAGAGTAGCATGCCTCCAGGCACCTTAACAATGAAGCTAGGCTTGCTGACCCATGAGCAAGAGAGCTAAGTGCCTTCTGGCTGAAGTTTACTGGCAGAATGGGGTGCCTCCAGGCACTTATTGGTGGAGCTATAGAGCTTTGGAACACTTGCCCCTGCAGGGCAGACACAGGCAGCAAGGCCCAAGGGGAAGAGAGGCCAAGAAACCAGGAAGCAGAAGCTGCAGAGACAAGGAATTCAGGAAGCAGAGCTGCCACAATCTCAAAGGGTCAGTCATGGACTCTGGGGCTTTAAAGGGTGGAGCCATAGCCTCCGAGGTGTCAAAGAGTCAAATCTTCACCAACTCGGTTCTGAAGTGTACAGCTACTGTTCATGAGTCCGAGAGTGACAGGGCCGGATCTTCTGCGCAGAGCTGAGGGGGTAGGGCTGCCATGCCAAAGGGGCAGAAGAATGGGGCCTGTCAGGTACGAGGTGGTAGGGTTACTATTCAGATGGACTAGAAGAATGGGGCTGCCCAAATCCGAGGGAGCAGATTTGCTGTTCCAGTGGGCCCAAAAGGCGGAGCTGAAGCCCAGGGCCTCCATTCAGAATCCGGAAAATGTGGCTAATACCTTGAGTCTGGGGGCGGGGGCGGGGGGCATTGTGTAAATGGCCTCAGAGAACATAGGATTATTCTGAAGGCTTGAGGGCTAATGCAATGTGTTCTGCTGACTTGCTTGGTGTCTGTTATCCCTTCTTTCCCTCCAATTTCTCCCATTTGTAATGGAAATGTCTACCTTGTGCCTGTTCCACCACTGTACTTTGGAAGCAGATAACCTGAAGAAGGATTTTTGGATTTGGAACTTGGAACTGATTTAAGACTTTTGCTATGATATGATGGGGTGAATGTGTTTTACATGTGGCAATGACATGAATATTGGGGGGGGGCAAAGAGTGGAACATCATGGATTGAATTGTGTCCCCCAAAAATGTGTGTCAACTTGGTTAAGCCATGATTCCCAGTATTGTATGACTGTCCACCATTTTGTCATCTGATGGGATTTTCCTATATGTTGTAAATCCTGCCTCTATGACATTAATGAGGCAGGATTAGTGACACTTATGTTAATGAGGGAGAACTCAATCTATATGATTAGCTCTTAAGTCAATCTGTTTTGAGATATAAAAGAGAGAAGCAAGCAGAGAGATAGGGGGACCTCATACCACCAAGAAAGAAGCGCTGGGAGCATAGCATGTCCTTTTGACCTGGAGTCCCAGTGCTGAGAAGCTCCTCGACCAGGGGGAGACTGATGACAAGGACCTTCCTTTAGAGCCAACAGAGACAGAAAGCCTTCCCCTGGAGCTAGCACCCTGAATTCGGACTTCTCGCCTCCTTAACTGTGAGAGAATAAATTTCTCTTGGTTAAAGTCATCTATTTATAGTATTTCTGTTATAGCAGTACTAGATAACTTAGATAGTTGCCACCCTGCGATATGTCAACACTTTCCCCTTCTCAACCTTGGATTCCCCATTTCCACTTGTCCAGTTTTCCTGTTCCTTCCTGCCTTCTCATCTTTGCGTTTGGGCTGGTGTGCCCATTTAGTCTCGTATACACGGCTGAACTACATGTGTTACTGTTTGTTTTATAGGCCTCTCTAATCTTTGGCTGAAGGAACTTCAGAAGTGACTTCAGTACTGAGCTAAAAGGGTGTCTGGGGCCATACTCTTGGGGTTTCTACAGTCTCTGTCAGACCAGTAAGTCTGGTCTTTCTTTGTAAATTTAAGTTTTGGTCTACATTTTTCTCTCACTATGTCCAGGACCATCTACTGTAATCCCTGTCAGAGCAGTCAGTGGTGGTAGCCAGGCGCCATCTAGTTGTGCTGGACTCAGTCTGGTGGAGGCTGTGGTAGTTGTGGCCCATTAGTCCTTTGGACTAATGTTTCCCTTGTGTCTTTGGTTTTCTTCATTCTCCTTTGTTCCAGATGGGGTGGGACAAGTAGATGTATCTTAGATGGTTTCTCATTAGCTGTTAAGGCCCCAGATGCTACTCACCCAAGTAGGATGTAGAATATTTTCTTTATAAACTATGTTATGCCAATTGAGCTAGATGTCCTCCGAGACCATGGTCCCCAGCCCTCAGCCCAGTTACTCGGTCCCTCAGGGAATTTGGCTATGTCTATGAAGCCTCCATGACTTTGCCTTGGTCAAGTTGTAGGACAATTACTTTTCATTGTAAGCCTAATAGTACTACTATCTACCTTTTAAATTAAGCATAGGTACTATGGGGGAAAATTAACATAAAAGAAAAAGAAAAGAAATTTTAGACATTTTAAGAATATTTTAATTATCATGAGCACAAAGGAAAAAGCAACTTCCAATGGTTTAACTTCATCAACTTCTAACGTTTCACTGTTTTCTAAGTTGCTGACAATATTAATACATACTAAAAGATTATGAGCAAACCTGATTCAAGGTATTTCTTTAATGATTCTTCAAGTGAAGGAACAGGCAGTGATGGAAGAGTATCCTGGTACTGGAATGTTCGTTCTTCAGTTGATTTAGCCAATTGATTTTCCATGATGCAATCACAATAGAAAATCTAAAGAAAAATGAAACAGACCTCACAGCTTCAACCTTATAAATACTCTCATATATGCTAGGTCCAATTCATTAAACCAATATTTATGGACCACAGTATATCCAGGACTTGATCCCAGTTCTTAAGGAGGTTATAATCTTGTCAGAGACAAAAAATCAACTTAAAAAAAAAGAGTGTAGACTCAAAAGTGCTGGAAGTGAAAGAGTTGTAAGTGAAACCAATGCAATTCATTACCATTTACTGAGTACCTACCATTTTGCCATGTACCACAGCAGGTGTTACAGAAAGCATGCACTATCTCTTTAATCTTCATATTACCTCTAAAAGGTAATATTCATTACAATTTTACATATGAAGAAACCTAAACACAGATTTAGTAACTTGTCTAAAATCAAAGAGCTAGTATCTGGGACCCAAACCTAGATCTGTTTAACTCCAAAGACCACGATCTTTCCTCTACACAAAGGTAAAAAGACAGGAGCCGAGGGGAGCTGCAGTAGGTCTAGATGGGTAGGTAGGATTAGGATAAGTAAAAAAGGATTATGGGCTGAGGGAGACAGCTTTGAAGAGCAAGGTATGAAGAAATGTGGAAGAGTCGTCCAACTATAGAGGAGGTTCTCTATTACAGAATACATAAAATCATACGACAAGCTGCTGTAACCTAATTGTGCAGATGGTGTGGAACCTACACATAATGGTTTCAAGTGTCCCAGAGTAATCTTGAACACTTCCCACAAATGTATTAATTTTCATGAGAGAAATCAAACTAACTCAAAATGTGAATAAAGTATAAAAGTACTAAATAAAAAATGAGATTTCTCAAAGAAGCCTTTATAAATTAAATTATATGTTAAAATAGCTGAGAAATCAAATAACACTAATATTGAATAAGGATTTCCTGTCCTTTTCAAATACTACCTTTTAAAACTAACAGCAAAATCAAAATAAATACTCCACTCAGAGAAGGTTATAGAATTATACATTATCAAAAGCAGGGACGTCTGACGAGATCCTTCATACTTTTGTCTGGTTTAGCTGAAATCCAAAGCCTGGAGTTTTCTACCTGAATCTTCAGCTACCATTGCACAAGCCTTGTTGCCAACTTCTACAATTAAGTTCAACTAACTCTAATAAAGGAGTCCTTGGGAGGTGCATACTGTTAACGTGCTTGGCTGCTAACCAAAAGGTTGGAGGTTCACGTCCACCCAGAGATGCCTCAGAAGAAAGTTCTGACGATCTACTGCCAAAAACTCAGCCACTGAAAACACTATGCAGGACCCCATGTGTGTCGGAGTGGAACTGTGCTCCATGAGGTTTTCAGTGACTGATTTTTTGGAGGTAGATCACCAGGCCTTTCTTCTGAGACATCTTTGGGTGGACTAGAGCCTCTAATCTTTCATTTGGCAGCCAAGTATATTGACAGTTTGCACCACTCAAGGACTCTAAGGTAGATAAATTATTAATTATTCTGAAGATGGGAAAACTAACTGAGGCTGAGTGTGATTTTGTCAATGTCATACAGGCAGTGAAGTGTGAACTGTGAGTGGAACCCAGGTATATCTGAGAACAAAACTCTTGCTCTTTCCACTGTACCCCAGAACTTAAGGAGCTCAGAGCCCAACAGAGATAACACCAACTTTAGCCATAGTACATGCTTAAAGACATTGTTGCTCAAGTTAAAGAAATGGGCTGCATTCTACTCTTCACACATATAGCAATGGTTCAACTTATAATTCCTCGGTGACTGCAGTAAGGTCAAATGAAATAGAGCTAAAAGTCAGGGGAAATATCATCATAGAAAAATGACCCAGAACCTTTTGCATGAGAAAGTTAGTCCTGAATTTTGTAATGCCCGTGAGTGAAATATGTATCATGTCTCCTTGATTCTAAAATACTACTTCTAGATTGTAAGGTTTTAGTCCTGAAAAGCCCAGTGGTGAGCCCAATAAAACAATGGCAATTACAATCAAAGAAATCTGGAAATTCTTTTCTTGCTTTTGGATTACCACTAAAAGGTACTACTCAAGTGACCTGGAAGAATGGTTGTTTCTACCTGAGTGCAAATTAAATTCAAATGGTCTCTTTCCCCAACACAGACATTTGGATTTAATAACACGTACCAATGATTTTTGTGTGTGCATGTGTGTCTTTGGGTGGTGCGAATGTTGGCTTGGCTGCTAACTGCCTTGTGGGAAGGGCCTGAAGATCTGCTTCTGAAGGGTGAGCTCTAGGAGATCCTATGGAGCAAAGTTCTATTGAAGACACATGGGGTTGCAATGAGCTGTAGTCAACTCTACGGCAGCTTATTTTTTTTTTAACCAATGGTTTTAGGCGTTATGTTATGAAGCAAGATTTAGGGAACGTGATCACTTATGATAAATAACCCATTGTTTTCATGTTTAGAATGACATCATATCAAACTAATCAGTATTTAAAAATACAGCAAGACAATCTCTATATACAAATGAAATAATGATGGATCATTTTGGCAGCTCTCACGAAACACAGCTAATTTTATGTACAATAATAGATGTAAAGTCAACAAACTCAAATATAATTATAAATACACTGTCAAAATTTGTGTGAAGTTCTTTCACTAAGAGATGTGATTACGTCTAAAACAAATTGTGTTTACAATTTTAAAAGAAAAGAAAACCCACGGCTCTACTCTGACACACAAGGTTGTCATGAGTCAGAGTCGATTCCATGGCAACTGGTAATTCTAATTATGCCTGCTTTCTCTGCATCCTCAGAACTTACATATTGTTTGCACTGGGTTCATTAGCTACTTTTATCTTATATATCCATGGGGGTATATTCCCTCTCTTCAATGAAATGCTTAAGAAAGGTAATACTTTACAAAATGTGTGCTTTTTTTCCTAAATGAAAAAACGCTTTGAATTCCCCGAGAATGGAAACCAGACAAGGACACCCTTTATCACCACTCTTATGCAACATCGTGCTGGAAGTCCTAGCTAGAGCAATAATGCAAGAAAAAAGAAATAAAAGGCATCCAAATTGGTAAGGAAGAGGTAAAACTCTTCCTACTCGCAGATGATATGATCTTATACACAGAAAACCACAAAGAACCCACAAGAAAGCTACTGAAACTAATAGAAGATTTCAGCAAAGTAGCAGGATACAAGATTAACATATAAAAATCAGTTGGATTTCTCTACACCAACAAAGAGAACTTCAAAAAGGAAATCACCAAATCAATACCATTTACAATAGCCCCTAAGAAGATAAAGTACTTAAAAATAAATCTAACCAGGGACATAAAAGACCTAAACAAAGAAAACTACAAAACACTACTACAAGAAAGCAAAAGACCTACATAAGTGGAAAAACATACCATGCTCATGGATAGGTAGAGGCAACACTGTGAAAATGTCAATTCTACCCAAAGCAATCTACAGATACGATGCAATCCCAATCCAAATCCCAACAGCATTCTTTAATGAGATAGAGAAACAAATCACCAACTACATATGGGAAGGGAAAAAGTGCCAGATAAGTAAAGCATTACTGAAGAAGAAGAACCAAGCGGGAAGCCTCACACTACCTGATTTTAGAACCTATTATACAGCCACAGTAGTCAAAACAGCCTGGTACTGGTACAACAACAGACACATAGATCAATGGAATAGAAATGAGGACCCAGACATAAGTCCATCCATCTATGAGCAGTTGATATTTGACAAAGGCCGAAAGTCCTTTAAATGGGGAAATGACAGTCTCTTTAACAAATGGTGCTGGCATAACTGGATGTTCATCTGTAAAAAAATGAAACAAGATCCATACCTCACACCAAATACAAAAATTAACTCAAAATGGAGCAAAGACCTAAATATAAAATCTAAAATTATAAAGATTATGGAAGAAAAAACAGGGACAACACTAGGGGCCCTAATGTTGTTGTTAGGTGCTGTCGAGTCGGTTCCAACTCATAGCGACCCTCTAGGGGCCCTAATACATGGAATAAATAGTATACAAACCAAAACCAACAATGCACAAACACCAGAAGAGAAACTAGGTAACTGGGAGCTCCTAAAAGTAAACACTTATGCTCATCAAGACTTCACCAAAAGAGTGCAAAAAGAACCTACAGACTGGGAAAAAAATTTTGGCTATGACATATCTAACAAGGGTCTAATCTCTAAAATCTACAAAATACTTCAACACCTCAATAACAAAAAGACAAATAATCCAATTAAAAGACATTCAGGCGGCCAACAGACACACAGGAAATGCTCTCGATCATTAGCCATTAAAAACCTAACCAAATCTGTTGGCGTCAAGTCAATTCCAACTCATAGTGTCCCTACAGCCATAAGAGAAATGAAAATCAAAACTACAATGACATACCATCTCACCCTGACACTACTGGTAGTAATCCAAAAAACAGAAAATAACAAATGTTGAAGAGGTTGTGAAGACTGGAACTCTTATGCACTGCTGGTGGGAATGTAAAATGGTACAACCACTTTGGAAAACAATATAGCCCTTGCTTAAAAAGCTAGAAATAGAAATACCATATGATCCAGCAATCCCACTCCTAAAAATATACCCTAGAAAATAAGAGCTGCCACATGAATAGACATATGCACATCCATGTTCACTGCAGCACTATTCAAAATAGCAAAAAGATGGAAACAACCTAAATGCCCCTCAACAGATGAATGGATAAACAAATTATGATACACACACCCAATGGAATACAGCGCAAAGATAAAGAACAATGATGAATCTGTAAAACATCTCACAACATGGGTGAATCTGGAGGGCATTAAATGAAATAAGTCAGTCACAAAAGGATAAATATTGTATAAGACCACTATTATAAGAACGCTAGAAAAGATTTACACAGAGGAAAAAAATTCTTTGATGGTTATGAAGGTGGGGAGGGAGGGGGAGGACAAATCACTAACTAGATAGTAGACAAGTGTCAACTCTGGTGAAGGGAAAGACAACACACAATATAGAGGAAGGCAGCACAACTGGACCAAAGCAAAAACAGAAGTTTCCTAGACATATCCAAACACTTTGAGGGACCGAGTGGTTGGGGCTGGGGACCACAGTCTCAGGGGACATCTAGGTCAATTAGCATAACATAGTTCATAAAGAAAATGTTCTACATCCCACTTTAGTGAGTAGCATCTGGGGTCTTAAAAGCTTGCGAGGGGCCATCTAAGATACAACTATTGGTCCCATCCCATACAGAGCAAAGGAGAATGAAGAAAACCAAAGACACAAGGAAAATATTAGCCTAAAGGACCACATGAATCAGGGACTCTACCAGCCTGAGACCAGAAGAACTGGATGGTGTCCTGCTACCACCACTAACCCTACCACCACCAACCGCTCTGACAGGGATCACAACAAACAGTCCCAGACAGAAAGGGAGAAAAATGTAGAACAGAATTCAAATTCATGAAAAAAGACCAGACTTACTGGCCTAACAGATACTGGAAGAATCCCTGAGACTATGACCTCCAGACACTCTGCTAACTCAGAACTGAAACCATTCCCCAAGCCCACTTTCAAAGATTAGACAGGCCTGTAAAACAAAAGTAACACACGTGAGGAACGTGCTTCTTAGTTCAATCAAATATACAAGATCAAATGGACAACTCCTGTCCAAAAGCAAGACGAGAAGGCAGGAAGGGACAGAACTTGATGAATGGACACAGGGAACCCTGAGTGGAAAGGGGGAACATGCTGTCACACTGTGAGGAGGATTGCACCCAATGTCACAAAATAATGTGTATAAATCTTTGAATGAGAAATTAACGTGAGCTGTAAAATTTCACCTAAAGCACAATAAAACTAAAAAAAAACAAAACACATTGAGTCTTATAAAGATCTTTACTTTCTCGTAATTTTCTGAATAGTAAAATACTTTGTGTGCATAAGTTTTCTAAGTAAATATAACCTTTCAGCAGGAGAAAGAAAACACACACAAAACAGCGGCAGAGTCTATTTTCTGCCAAAATTGTTTTTCCCTTTGTTTATTAACAGAATCCTGAGTTTTAACTGGGCATATATAGTCACACAACCAGAGTATCTTTCCTATCCTCCCGTAGAGTAACTGTGGCGTTGTGATGTATATGTCACTTCCAGGTCATGCTCCTAAAAAAAACTGCATGTGTTCTCACTGCCCTTTCCCTCCTTATTGACTAGCAGGTAGTACCAACTGGAGGAGGGCCTTGGACCTATTTATGGAAGCCATGTATTGAGGTTGTCAGAATCTCCCTACTGCCCTGGACTAGCCCCTCCTCTAGATGTATGAAAAAAGAAATACTGATCTTGTTCATGCCACTGTATTTAGGGGTTTCTTCATCAGGGTACTCTATACCACTAATATAAAGAAACAATCCAAAAATGGGGTATAATGATAATCTCATAGCTCCTATCTAATGACTTTGGCTCCACTACTTTGATCATGCATGAACAGTTTTGGACAGAATGGACATGTAGACCTAGGTCCAAATACCAACTCTGCCACTTTTTGTGCCCCGGGGGAAATAACTTTAACTGAATTTCAACTTCCTTATCTGTACGGAGGATAATCATATAACCAGATAGAACTGTTATCATGATTTTTTTTTAAATGCCTGCAAAAGCACTTTATAAAAATAATCTTTAGACAACCATATAATAATAGGCAGAATTTCTAGGAATGCCCCCCAAGATCCTACCCCCTCTAATCCCCAGAACTGAACGTGGTAAGATACCACTCCAGTGACTGTGTTATCTAACAAGGAATAAAGGGACTTTAAAATAAGGAGATTATCCAGGTAGGCCTTGTAGGCCTAATCTAATCACACAAACCTTTAGGAGCAGAGAGCTTTCTCTGGATAGTGGCAGAACAGACGTCAGAAAGATTTGAAGCAAGAGAAAAAAAAAAGTGCTATTGCTGAGGGAGGACTCCAGTGACAGCGAGTAAGGAAATGGGGACCTCACTCCTACAAGTGCAAATCTGAATGAGCCTGTAAGTGGATTCTCTCCCAGAGCCTCCAGAAAAGAGCCTAGACCTCTTTAAAACCTTGACTTCAGCCTTGTGAGATCCCAAGCAGAGTAGCCAGTTAAACCCACCTGTACTTCAGATCTACAAAAGCTAGGTATAAACTTGTCTTGTTTTAAACTGCAAAATTTGTGGTAATTTGTTATGGCAGCAATAACAAATTAATACACATATACAGAGAAGATAAGCTATTCTCTCTATATAACTCCCTGACACTTAACAGACTCTAGGAAACTGTGAGCAAGACTACCAACTTCATACCGACTACACAACGACACACACTAAAAATAGGAATTATCAAATTCTTTCTTGCTGGATTATTTGCCTTAAATTCTCAGCCACAAAAATTAAATGAAACAATAATTCCAGTATAATGCATATACGCATTCAGAAGAAAATGATCCTGACGTTGGGTTTAATTAGAGTGGACTTCCTGGAAGCAATAGAATGTGAATACGCAGAAAGTGGAAAGGAGAATCAACAACAGTAAGTAAAAGAATGGATTATCACATACTAGTGCTTCAATATGAGCTGTTTCAATTCTGTTTTGAGATCACAGGAGTATGAACTAGGCTGGTGACCGTGCGAAGGAAGAAATAAGCTTAACAAAAAAGACAGAGAAAAAAATTAACAAGAGCTAGGGAAAGAAAGTGAAAGGCAGACAGTCTAGGATGGGATGCCCCAACACTCAAACTTTTCCGAATCACTGCAAAAAGTCCATCAGCTACAGAGCTGAATTAAATCACGATAAAACTGTCCAGGAGACCGGTCCACAGGACCCAAGATACTTCTCTCTCAGCTTGGGCGACGCAGGAACGGGGGCAAAGGTCGGCGCCAGAGAAAGGGAGAGCAGAGGTGAAGGGAGCTCGGAGACTCACCCCACCAACTCAAGTGAAGCCTCGCACACTCGAGAGGCCACCGAGTGAGAGAATTCCAACCAAGAACCTCGAAAGCCTAGACCAGTGGCCCAAGAGGAGGGGTCCCCCTATGGCCCAAACGAAAAGATGGACGACAGCCGAACCATACCCCTGCCAAGTCCCGGCGCCTCCGCTGTTTACGAGACGTCTCGGTCCTACACGACTTAACTTTCCCCCGCCTAAGAGATGGAGCATTAGGGGAGGGAGAGGGCGCTGCCGCGGCGGGACTGCAGGTCCTTAAAGCCCGCTTCTCTCCTCCTCCGCCGCAGCAGGGTCACCGCCCCGCTCCCTCCCTGCCGCGGGAGAGCGGGAATTGGACGGAAGGCCGCAAGGGTCCCGCCCCATACTCGTCGAGTCACGGGGATTGGACGGAAAGCTGGGAGGGTCCCGCCCCGCCCCGCCCCGCCCCGCCCCGCCCCGCCCCGCCCCGCCCCGCGCTGGAAGGCAGATGTGGTCCGGGCCTGAGCTGTCGTCAGCTTCCGGTCTCTCATTCCCGGCCCACGGCTCTGACCTGGCGCTCGATTCTGGGCTGCGGGCTTGGAAAAGGCTCGCAGGACACTTAGTGAGAGGGCCGACTCCTGCCGGGCAGCAGGTCCAAGCCAACTGCGGGAGGAGCGCGGCGCCCTGGTTCGGGACTCCGTGGGGCCTCTGGGACACAGAGCCGGCCGCGCCCCGCCCACTCAGTTACCCAACCCTCTGGGAAGGACGCGGGGACAAATTGCCCAAAGTCATCTTCACCCAACTTCTGCAAGAGTTAGCGTCCTTTTGCTCCTTAATTTTCCTTTCGCCCGTAGCTCTGGCTTACCCGCCGCTCCTGCTCCTTCCCAAGGCGGCGCTTTTTTGCAGCCCGGAAGACAAGACCTTATATCAAATCCGTGTAAAGGCGTTATATTGCCCACCTTGTGTCCGGAAGAGAGAACAGTGACCACTCATCCCTGCATAGCCTCTCTTTCCCTTCATCTTCTGAGACTGAAGTTTACCCAAAGCAGATACACGACAGCGCTCTCAGCTATCTTGGGTCTCTGTCTTTGGTCAGGTCTTCTGTTGCCCATGGTCTTTGAAGCCCCAGGAATGCTCACGTTGCCAGCTTGTGGCTGACATGATGTCTTTTGCTATCACGCCAAGAAATGGAATTTTTAACCAGAGTGGAGATAGGCACGTTCTAGAAGACGGTCATAATGTGGTTAACCTAGTTTCCTAAACTACATTTACCACCTGAAATAAAATATTCCAAGTTTTAATTTTAAGTACACGGTTCCATCTTTGTGAAAAGGATGACCAAAAGTTTACTGGAACTCTGACCTAGTTATCAAATATAAAGAACTAGATTTCAATTTAACATGTCATTACAGGACCCAGTCCTTTGTTTGTCTTTCCTAACTCTTTGGTAGTAAAATCTGACCTGAGGTTGTGTACAACTGAATATTCACTTGGTATGAATATTTATAGGTTTTCTACAGAAATATTTATGTGTTTGATTACGCAGGGACTGGAGCTGTTGCATGATATGTAGTAGACACACCATTCTAAGCAAAATGCAAAATTCTAAACCACATGTGGCCAAAAAGGATTAAGATAAGGGACTGTGAACCTATAGTATTAATTTCCAAAGGTGTGACAAAGAACTTTTTCCTCTCATACTTACATAAGCCCTTTATTCTGGATAATGTTAAAATTTGCTTACAAGGTAAGAGTTCTTAAACTGAATTATAAAAAACTACTCAAAAACCTTCGTTGTACTTTTTTCTCCTTTTAAGTGAATTTTTTTTTTCTTTTTTAAAATTTTTTTATTGTACTTTAGATGAAGGTTTACGGAACAAATAGTTTCTCATTAAACAGTCAGTACACATATTGTTTTATGACATTGATTAAGAACACCATGACATGTCAACACTCTCCCTCCTGGACCTTGAGGACCTTTTTTTTGGTGAAAATATACGTAGCCAAAGTTACACCATTTTGAAAGTTTCTACATGTACAATTCAGTGACATTGATTACATTCTTCCAACTGTGCTACTATTCTCACTATCCTTTTCAAAATTTATTCCATCACCATTATCTTCAACTCACTGTCCTGTAGGCTTCCCGTCAAACCTTTTGAGTTGCTGTTATCAGTTTGATCTCACATAGATAATTCTTTTTTTTTTGAACCTTAGATGAAGGTTTGTAGAACAAATAGTTTCTCGTTAAACAATTGATACACATATTGCCCTATGACAATGGTTAACAACCCCATGAAATGTCAACACTGTCCTTTCTCAACCTTCTGCCTTCTAGTCATTGTCCCTGGACTGCTGTGCCTCATTAGTCCTGTTTTGTTTTATGAGGCTGTCCAATCCCTGGCTGCACAGTAAACTTCGGGAAGGGCTTCATCACTGAGCTAAAAGGGTGTCTGGGGGCCATACTCTTGGGGTTTCTCCAGTCTGTTAGGCCAGTAAATCTGGTCTTTTTGTGAGTTAGAATTCTGTTCTACATCCTTTCCCAGCTTTGTCCAGGACCCTCTATTGTGATCCCGGTCAGAGCAGTCAGTGGTGGTAGCCAGACACCCTCTAGCTATACTTGACTCAGTCTGGTGGTGGCCATTGTAGCTGTGGTCCATTAGTCCTTTGGACTAATCTTTTCCTTGTATCTTGTTCTCTTCGTTCTCCCTTGCTCCCGAAGGGGTGAGATGAGTGGATTATCTTAGATGGCTGCCCACAGGCTTTTAAGACTCCAGACGCTAGAATGTAGAACATTGTCTTTATAAACTGTGTTATGCCAATTGAGCTAGATGTTCCCCAGGATCATGGTCCCCGCAGCCCTCCGCCCAGCAATTCAGTACCTCAGTTTGGAAGTGTCTGTGGAGCTTCCATGACCTTGCCTCGTACAAGCTGTGCTGGCTTCCCCAGTAAGGTGTACTGTCTTACCCTTCACCAAAGTTACCACTTATTTAGTGCCCCCCCCCCACTTCTACCATCCCTCGTAACCAACAAAGATTGTTTCTTTTTGTGTGTAAACTTTTACATGAGTTATACAGTAGAGGTCTCATACAATATTTGTCCTTTTGTGATTGACTTATTTCACTCAGCATAATGTCCTCCAGTTTCATCCATGTTATGAGATGCTTCA